CGGGGTCTGATCCTCAAGAGTTTGTTTTCTCGAAGTTTTTATGGCTCATGGTTAAGTGAGTAAAAGAATAAAGGCCTGCTCTTCATCATTTCTCTTTTGTTCCTGTACGTTCTTCTTGTTGTTGTTTCTTGATAGGGGTGGCGTTGTCAGGGGTTTGGAGATGGCAGGGCCTATTATGTGACAAATAAGAGTCCATAAGCACTGTGATTTGGGTTAGCTTATTGCTAAAAAATAATGTAAAATGTGATTCATGAGAATATGTGAATGTTCGTATCCTTTCTATATGCATTCTGGATTATGTAGGAATTGTTTCTGTTGGAGAGAAAATTACCAGTTTTGCTGAGAGATCAAACCTCAACAACTTTATGGGTATATGATTGGATAGGGCAACTTTTTAAAAACAACTTTTTTAATAAATTAATGTGCAAAACCAACCTTTTCAAAGAAAAAACAGCAAAATCGACCCTTTTCAATGAAAAGGGTCGATTTTGCTGGCGAAACTTTTTGGAAAGGAAATGGATGGGACTAATAGTCCCGTCCATTTTGGTTTCTCTTTTTTAGATTCACAGCAGCTCCTTCTCCCTTCGGGGGTCGGTGAGGAAGGAGAAGAGTTGGGAGGGGATGGAGTTGGGGTGGATGAGCTGGAAGAGGAGGCAGCGGGTGCCGACACAGAGCTGGAGGGTGGCGACGGGGTTCTTGTAGCGGGAGTAGCTGGGGCGCCACTCGACGTTGAGGCCGACGATGAGGCTGTCGAGGCGATGGGCGTGGAAGGAGAGGACGCTTGAGATCTAATCGACGACATCGGCAGAGGAGGAGGTGACAGTGGCGATGATGGAGCGGCAGGTGGAGGAAGTGGTCTTCTTCAGCTTCCTAACCTCCATCCCCAGCACCTCATCCGCTAGCTTCACGATCCCCATCTGCTTCACGGTGGCGAATGGTGAGGAGGGGTTGAGGCTGAAGAAGAAGATGAAGAAGGAGGAGGAAATTCCAAAAAGGGGAGAAAAGGGAGAAGAAGCTGCTGCGGATTCAAAAAAGAGAAACCAAAATGGACGGGACTACTAGTCCCGTCCATTTCCTTTTCAAAAACCTCCAGCAAAATCGACCATTTTCAATGAAAAGGGTCGATTTTGTTGTTTTTTCTTTGAAAATGTTGGTTTTGCACATTAATTTTAAAAAAGAGTTGTTTTTAAAACTTTGTCCAATTGGATAAGAATAACATGATCAATAATGTAACATAAGCCATGCAGAACATACAAATATACAGATCATGTAAAGCATGCATATTGAAGTCTAATTATTGCATCGCTGTAGAACTCCGTAAATCTCTTATTTTAAGGTACGGAATCAAAACTGAAAGTTGAACTCACATTTCTTCAATCTCAGAGATTAATAAAAGAAGAAATATATTCAACCTCAATCGACACTGACATTAACAAATATGTTTAAATCAATAGCGAATGTAAAGAAAAACTAATTCGTATTAAGCAAGTTGCATATAAACTAGAAAGGACAGTCTGCGACCAGGACTACAAATCACAACAGTCTTTATACAGCATAAAAATGCGGTAACTCAAGCGGAAATGTAGTAGTTTTCTGGAGACCAATGTTTAGGCAAAGCATTTTGTTCAATAAGGAACAATAGCAATGCACAACAGAACGATAGCAGGCACCTGAATGATTTAAGCAAGTTCATAGGAGTGTGGAACACTCAACTCTCTCAGCAAACCTCCCTTACTGAGAGTCGCATAAATTAGAATAGAGCCATTGACACTCGAACAACAAACTGAATGTAGCGTTCGCAGACAAAAGAGCCATTGACACTCGAACAACAAACTGAATGTAGCGTTCGCAGACAAAAGACTACAGGTCCATGTTTGTGTAACAATGAAATAGCTTAACACACTTATATTCACTGCTCGAGCAACTGAGGGCCCAAAAGCGTGCAAATGTAAACCTGCAAATAAACAGATAAAAGCATGGTACCAGTGACTTCAGAAACATTAGATATCTATAAAACTGACAATATATGATATAGACCATACCAACACCCTTTCCACCGGAAACTAGCCTTACAAAGCCTACTTAAAAAATGTGTTTCTACTGCCACTGAGGCCTACTTTCTGCAAATCTCTTTCTAACTTTCACAATAGCATTTCTCCTTTCAGTAACCTTTTACATGAAAATGGTTTTCTTCCTTCTCTAATATGTTATAGCTGATGCCAATGTTTTGCCAATCTGCATCCTGACTCCTATGAATTTGAAGTGTATGGAGGAAAAAATTTATGATGTTTTAGATGATACTGCAACTTCGCTTCAAAAAAACGAAAACACTGATGTTCTACAGATTTCTAAATTCATTGTAATGTCTATTGTCCAAATGTAACTTAGCCAGGTTAATTTCTTTCACCTTTAACACAACTAGAAGGATTCTAATCCTGGCTTCCCAGTTCCCATCCTCTGCCAAATTCCCTGATGAAAGTATTTCTACATACCAAACATTATTCACAAATGCCCTGCATCAGTCAACAATTCTATATGTTTCCTGATATACACAACTAGATGATTCTTCTATTTAAGACAATATCACGAAACTTGAACATTGAAGTAGATAAATAAAGCTTGCAACTCATCCGCAAGAGACATCTTCATAAAAGAAGAAAGTTGATTAGTAATACTTCGCATTCTATTGAAATGCTAAGTAATAGAGCCCTATGAATAATTCATTGACAATATTTTTAATAAAAGAATTGCCACCAGCAATTTTCCTCTCATGGCAACCTATAACTTTTTCACATATTCATGCAAACTCTCAGT